ATGTCGGCCTGATTCTGACAGTCACTGACTCAGTTTTATCAATCAAGCAAGAAGTATCAAGCTAGAAAAAGTCAAATTTCAATTTAATTTTTTAAAAAAAGACAGTAACAGCTACATCAAATGTACAAAACTAGACTTGTACATGCGAAACTGAAATTTTTGATATGTAGAATAACTAATAAGTCAGAGTCACAGTGCCTGGTGTAAACACTTATTTTGTTATAAAAAAGGCAAGCAAATAATACCTGTTATTTCTTAGTCAACTGAACGAAAAGTATTTCTTAACACTTGCATCTCAGAATTATGAAGCATTTTCTCTGTAATAACATTTTATGGCTGTCTCTACTCTTATTCTCTGGAAAATCCAGCATATTTGCGTCCATAATAAGGTTTTTCCTGTATTTAAGATGCTTTCCCCCAAACCACTTTTGTAATTGTACATATCCTCAACAGTGTGTACATACTCAATTGCAAAGAAATTATAAACACTATACAGCAGCCAAAATGGATTACATTTTGAAACATACAGAATAACTTAAAGAAATGCTGAGCCCTATCCAGTAAAGCCTTTCTCCTAAGAAACCCATGTGTAAATGAGGACCATAAAAATAGAGTGAATGAGGAGCATAAAAATAGATCCTTTATTAGTAAGAAATAGCAGACAGATATAAAAGAAGTTTTTGTTTTTCTTACCTCTTTAAATAAAAACAATTTGGATGAACCAAAGCAGAAAGATAGATTTTTATTTGTGGAAACAAAGTAATAGTTGTAAGTTATACTAGAAATGGAAGCTTTTTCCTGATTTACTTTTGGTTTAGTTATAGAGAGTCCAGCACTGGTTGGGTTCCACTGTATGCTGTGACTATGGATTCTACACGTTACACAAAGTATTCTGTATTCAATGACTATGCTTAATTTATAAAATGATATAAAAAAATTTGTCATCTTCAGCAGATACTATCTTCTCTGCAAATAGGTTCCAATACTTTTAAAGTGAAATTATTATAGAAACATCCAATTATTTACAGTATTCAGGCTGACAGCCCATACACTTAAGCCTCTATATTGAATGCATATTCTACATAGCTAATAGTGTTATTCATATGCAGTCCCCTGAGAGATTTGGGTAATGCATCAATAAGCATGATTTCTAACTGTGGATTGGGATTGCTCTTATTAATTTTTCCCCTCTGAGTATGAAATGCAAATTGTGAAAAGTAGAATTTGCATCTTAACTTGACTTACATATTATCTCTGCTTTGCACCTTAGGAAATTGCCAGATATTAAGTTACAGTTAAAGCTTCACCAATACCATCACACTTTACTGGAATCAGAATAATTTTATTTTACTTCCTGACTCTGTCTATGTTTTGAACTGTAAAAACCATCCTTTGTCACATTTTAAAAATGTGTAAATTGCAAGCCATAGTTTAACTGTTATCAACTATAAGAAAAGAAGCATTTCCTTTCATTGGATAGCTCAGATTTGAAAAACAACTTGCTAGAGAGCTGGATAAACCTGAATTTCGGCAGTTCAATGACCACCTAATTATTCTGAATTTCTACTTCATCCTAAAGAACATCTTTATCTCAGCAAATAATTAAGCACTTCATTTGGCACACCTTGTTCCACAAATCCTAGTTCAGTTCTTTGCTGATCTCACGTCCACACTACTTTCACTAAGCTTAATATTATCCAAAGCACATTTCCAAGTTTCATTAAAAATGTTGATTTAGTCCTTGAATAAATTGTCACTGTAATACTAGATGTCTATATAGATAAATACAATTCAACTCCTCTTCCAGCCATCACACCCACACACAAAGCATGAGAAAGGCAGAACTACTTTTGCTCTAATTTCTATATTAAACAGATTTTTATTTGCATTCTTCTCAGTATTCTTGGTCATATCTAAGAATATATTTTCATTCCAAAGAACTAGGGAATTGCTACATAACTAGCCTCAATATCCAAAAATCTAAAATATTTGTGGAAATAGAAGCCTTTCATTTGTCATGACTCAGTATTTACTTTAGATACTCTTAACTTTAAGCATAAATGGTACCTTCTCACCATACTTTAAAATCTTAGGAGAAATATATGAAAGTTAAGATATAATTTGTGATATAAGGTTAAGATATATTACGTGATAACAATGACTGTGTTTGAAAATGCTGTATTTAAAAAAATAAATCTGAAAGCCAAAAAGAAAAGAAAGACTTGGATACTCTCCTTCAGTAAAGAGGTACTTTTTCTTCCGATTTAGGATCTTGTATCAACCGACTTGCGATGCAACAATATAAAGACAGCATTATGCTCTTGATGTTTGGTTTGTAACTGCGCTTTCATTGCCTGGCAAACATGAAACAAGCACTGATGTTGTCAGCAAAACTTGCAAATGGAAAATAATTCCAAATAAGATTTAGTTTGTTAAAGCAAGAACTGTGGAGTACGATTTTATGTGATAGCACGTTAAAGTATTTACATTACAAGTAAAGAACCAAATCCTTCTGCAGGTCTGTGCAGGAGAGCTCAGAAATAAGGATTCATTCGTGCATTTGCAAATGTGATCACAATCTGTCATTTGATCCTCCTGCCAAACAGAAAAGCATGACATGCTTTCAAGGGCTGTAACATCTTCCATATTTGTGATGAAGCGTTTCCAAAGGTGAAGGAATTCAGAGGTTAACTTCCTCCCTGCTGCCCCAGCAGGCTGGGGTGGTTTGCTTGGATTAGTAATCTTTTGCTAAGTGACACAATACTGGAAAACATTTTGGGCGGGACCCCAATGTACCATCAGCTTAAGATAAAGCCTTTCACACCGTGTAGGACCTAGCCTTCCATCAGTACAAATTACTGAAGAGGCTTCATAAAAAGAAACATCTATATTTGTGAACTGGATTATGATACGAACTCTACATCTCCCTACTTTTGACAGGCTGACGAGAAGTGAAACTCATTAACCAAGAAAATTGACTGAAAGCTTGATTAGCAGCTGGAAAAAGACTTAAAATGTAGCTCAAAACCCAAGAACTAAGCAGGGACACTGAGAAAAGTAATCAGTAAAATGGAAATTATTATAATTTGGCTTTTGTAATGTTCCAGGTAAATGGGGAGATCTCATACCTTCTTATCTAACCAAACAATTACCACTGCCACTGTATTTTTTAACTAAAGAAAGGATTAAAAAACATATTCCAGTATCAAGCAATATCACATTTGATTTCTGAAGTCACCACGAGATCAGCGAGAAACATGGATCTTTAACTGTCAAATACACCTTCGCATTACGGGAAGGTATGTCAGACGCCAGGCAACGCTGTGACCTGTAGTGCAAAGCTGCTCTTTGCAATACAGTTCATACATACTTAATGCAAAAAGAGAAACGGGGATAAAGACTGAGGGAATGGATGCTCCATTTGGTGACCCTTAAAATATGACTAACTATGTTATCGCCAAGAAGTGCCACTCTTCAGATTCAGCGCTGACTTGATTCCATAAGCATATTAGAAATGCTTAGCACACTATCAGAAACACAATGTTGCTGTTTTTTCTAAAATTTGCCTTACTTAAATGAATCAAAACAAGAATATCAATATCCTCTTAGTCCTTCCCCTACACACAGGACTCAGCTATTCATACATTGAGGATTACTCAGCCCAAGGCCTCTATATTCTCCTTTGCAATCATTTGCCCCCGTAGTTTTTCCTTCCACAATCAATACTAAAAAGCGTGAAACTATTTCAGGCAAACACAGCCAGACTCTCAAAATCAAACCGACTGCATGCAAGGGGGAAAGGGCATTGTTCATACACCAGTTTCTAAAAGAACAGATGAGCAGAATTCAACATTTTTCTAGAACTTTCTAAAAAATATAATTTTTTTTTTTTTTAATAAAACAGGATTGTAAGTTTAAACAATCCCAGCTGGCATCAAGCCACAACCTTAAATGTCAAAATAAGATAATTCTCTTGCTGATTTAAACAGAAATCTTTGCTAATTGTGGGAAATGTCTTTGTACTTTACTTGTGTCGATGTCTGTTTAAACAGTTTATTATCCATTGGATATTACAGATAAAAATGGAAAATAAAAATTTTCCAATCTAACTTACCATAGATCTTACAAAAAGATCAGTTTTTGAAGAAAATACCACCAATTATATTGCAGCTCCGAAGTAATTCTGTGCATAACTAAGCACCTGCTGAATAATGTGAAAATATTTCCAAAGTTCAAGGGTGACATGAGAAGAAAAAATCTTTCATTAAGTGTTACAAATTCTGACCCCTTGTATTTACGAGTGAATTCTTTTTTCTCCCCATTGATCTTATTTTCAAAAGAAATCTATTCTGTTCTATTAAAAACGGCATTGTGAATTAATTTCCACTGAAATTACAAAGACAGAATCACAGGATGGAGAGGTTGGAAGGGACCCCTGGAGATTGCCTAGCCCAGCCTCCCTCCTCAGCCACAGCAGTTTGTCCAGGGCAATGACCAGTCAGGTTTTGAATATTTCCAGAGACGGAGACTCCACAACCTCTCTGGGTAACCTGTTCCTGTGTTTCACCACCCTCACCATGAAGAAAGACACTCACAATGCTACTACTTTCTGTGACACATCTTAGCTGAAGCCGTCTGTCTTAGTTTGACACTTGCTATAAATGCATCCATCTTTGCCTGCAGGGTTATACGGTATCATATAGAACATCGTTCCAGTAGGCTTCAATCTATTTGCCTAAAGTTATCCAAGTCAATTAAAGAAAATAATTTTACAATTGCCACTTTAGAGGTGTATGAGAATCAGTAAGTCATTTGGCCTGCCAATTTAATCATTCACATCTATTCAAAGTTGGGTAAAATTACTGTAAATGACTATACAGAATGCAACACAATGGTACTTGGTCTGAAATATGAAACTGCACAAGAAAACAAACCCAAACCACAAACCCTCTGACATCTGTAGATAGAAAAACATTGCAATACATTTGAAAACGCCTTACTTTTCCTCCGCTGTCAGTTCTGTCTCATAAGCAGCCATCTTAGCTCCTGTCCCAGCAGGCACTGCTGTCCTTTGTCTTCGCTTTCTTCTTGGAGCGGTATCAATGACATCTGGGCTACACAGAAGGGAATCCCTTTGTTCTGATACTGCCAAAAGGAAAAAGACCAAAGCTGAAAAGAACTTGAAGTATTACAAGACATTCTTAAATACTTTTTGTTTATTATTATTAAATCTCTACACTGTCAATATGGGCTCAGATTTGACAGCAGTTGGTGTCAAAACAATGAGATGACATAAAGAGAAATTCAAAAAGACCAAATTAAAACTAGAAAAATAACCTTCCCTTGACATCTCTTTGTAGTCAGTGGAGAGAAAGATGGGCAGTTATAAACCAGAAATACACTGACCATCTCCTCATTCCTCCTTGTAGACTCTACAACAAGTGGAAGGGTAACCCATTTTCACCTACCTGAAGTTAGTCTTTGTCACTTACAGAATAATCGAGAAAGATGTGCACGTGGCACAGGGAAAGGAGCTTGAGTGTTCTGCATGACTTTGTTCCAGCTCTAGGTCTGCATTATGGACAGAAATACACACCCAGAACAAAAAAGAATTAAATAATTTTCAATATTCATTAGCATAAACCCTTGAGAGAAGCTTATTGCTGTGATCAAGCACTGTACTTTGTAATGAACTAGTCATTCTGCTGCCATGGACCTCCAGGCAATAAATCCTTACAGGTTCTGCTGGAGACTCTCTGAAGACAACGGGCAGAAAGACTGATGGACAGCCTGATGTCTGTTCAGTGAGGCAAGAAATCATCTACCTGGAGCATACCCATGCATAAAAAGTGGTAACACCAGCTTACTGATCCACCCCTGGAACAGGTGTCCCTGGTTTAGACTAAACCTCCCAAACTGACAAAGCGTAGCTGCAATCTGAAAGGAAAACAGGGAGAATTCCTAACACCTCACAACCCAAAACTGGACAACCCGTCTGCGTTTCCACTGACTCCTCTGCTGAAGGTATGTAAAGTAGGCTCTGCCCAGGTTCATTTACCTATAATTTTAATTTCCATCATTACTGCATAAACTACGATTTCACACCTAGTTCACATTTATATTATCATGTAAATTCATAAAAGATGCATTATCTACACTTTGCTTTGTCTCTGCTTTGACAGTTATCTGCTTAAAGCTCAAATGTCAAGTCAACTGGATACTTCCTTAAGTTAAATCCCTCCCTTCCCTTGCTATTAATGCACTCAGAAGATGTGTAGACATTTTTATTCCAGCTATCAACATCCTGTAGCATGCTTTTACTTGGTATGCCTGCTTTAGAAATAAAATCTTTAATTACTTTGAATTTTCAAGATAATGATATCCAGAACAGCACACATTTCAACTGAAATATATGAAATAATAACGTGGTGACTGAGGCTGATGCTATTATGGTAACTTCCCTGATTATTACTTTCTGTGCGTTTTAGGAAGGTTTAATATTCACGTGGGTGAAAGACACCATAATTTGAGATTCAATAGTGAAGGTTTTCACTAATAATAATGGATCCTATTTCTTCATTCCTTTCACAGTCATTATACTCGTCTACTGAAAATGAAACAGGACGAAAATATGCAACACACAAGTAAAATTTTCACAGTTTCTCAAAAAGATCTGTTCCTGACCAAGAACACTGCTAATTTAAACACATAAATAGAGGGTCCCTAGAGCCAGTGCAACCACTGCTTATAATGAAGCACATGCTTAAACATCAGAACCTCTTTGCTTTTACTCACATGCACTATACCATATCACAGACCTACAGATCTTTGTAGGGCGACAGCAGGTACTAGCTGACGTGTTTCCAAGGCACAAGCTCATTAACAAGTTTCAAAGTCCAGTACAAACAAGAGACATTGCCTATAATAAATGCTGAAAAGGGTTAAATTACAGTCTAATTCTCCACACTAAACTTTAACTAGCTATGCATACCTTTCCAGTGCTAACGGTTGATAATATGTTCATGACTGTTAACTACTACTTACTGGCAGCACGTTCAGGTTAGTATAACGTTTACACTAATACTATTTTATATATTCCAACATCACTTCCTAAAGTCCTTCTTAATTAATACATATAAAATAGTTTATTGTCAAGAACCAAACAAACTTGAATAGTTTTACTATCATAGCTCTTATCCTTCCTTGTTGCTATTCTCGTCCCACGCTCCCTGCTTTTGCCAAAAAGTAGATCCAGAGGTTAGCTACATATACAAAACCTACATAATGCTGATGTTAAATAAATAATGTTTCTGTGTTTTTGACTTGTGTAATATCCAATGGTGCTCATGGCCCTCATGCTCAGCATTGTTTACTGTTAAGACACAAATCCTGTTTGTCTTCTACAACAGTGCCACTGGTACGCGAGTGAGAAAAATGGAAGAGGAATGTTCCTCTTGGCAACACATTGCATTTGTGCTAACTTCAGGCTGGAAAAGGGTGTCATTTTTTTGCTAAACATCTCAATCTAACCTTTCCCATGAAAACCAATTTTATGACCTATTAAAACCAAGCAGAATAAAAAATTTTGACCTGAATGATTCAACTAAACCTCTGCAATAAAGTTCACAATTTCTATTGTGAGAATGTTTCTTTTAATAATGCCAAGAAGAAGGCATCTTATTCATACAGCCTAGAATGCAATCTTATGAACAGTAGTAGACTGGCTCATAGATAATGGTTGATTACTATAGGCTTGGGTTTTTTTGTTTTGTTTGTTTCTTTTAAGCCAAAGTACCTCTTATGGTAGAACTGCTAATGAAAAGATGGCATAGACTTGAAGCTCAAAGTATCATGCCTCACCATATGACTTTAAACACACCCCCACTACTGGTGCCCAAAAATAGTTCCCATTAATGAATTCGTTTATAGTACTAGACTAAAAGCCAAAGAAAGCTTCAGCAAAATATTATTCACTGCTGGACACAAAATCATTTGGAAAAATGAGAGACAGTCTTGATCATAAACCTAGTTTTTCATTCTGAAACCTTTTCTGTCTAAATTTCATTACCATTTTGAGGAAGGAAAGTTCCTTGACTTCTCATGAAATTAAATGTCTTACCTTGATTTTATGCACTAGAACATGAATGATTGTTGTACCTTTGAGAAGAACAGTACCAATTTAATTACAGACAAGAGTATTGCCTGATGAAAGCCAGTTAATTAAACCACCTAAAACAACAAATGTTGATCGAGAAAAGGAAATGTTCCTAATAGATAACATACCTCCTGCAGGTGAATAACGCCAAGAAACAAGATTGTTAAGAGAGCAAGAAAGGGAATCGTAGTTCAGGTAGTAAAAGAATATTTGCACTAAGAATATTAAAGGCTTTAAGTAAAAAGTCCTGATATACTTTTTTGTTGTTTGTTTTGAAGAGCGATGTTATTTGGTGTGCAGAGGGAGTTTTCAAATGAGAAAGGATATTCTAGAAAATAGCTTTCACTGGTTTGAAAGAGTCAGGATGAAATTAAATCAATAGAGTTCCATAACACTGGGGGCCTGGAAACAGAAGATGTCTTTACTCAAATACAGAAAAATGCCAGGCCCCATTCTCAAGAAATTCAGTACACTACACCTTTCATTACCGCGCAGAACAGCACCGCCTCTTCCAAGCTCTCTTCTGGGAGCAGTCTCTGGCCAGCCAGACTCTGCCTGGGGAACCGCTGGGTTGAGCTGGTAGAGAGCAAAATCACCGCGGGGAACATGCTAGCAATGAATGGGGGCAGACAGCTTCACTCAACTGCCAGCATCAAGGTCAGATCCTGGCATTGTTCAGTGTACTAACACAGCACCATGATCCCTGAAAACTACAGGAATTTTAAAATTAGTTCCTGTAACTTGGTTAAAGATAGGCAGTCCAGTTATATTTTAAAATAGACTTTTGCATTACTTTATTTTGATATACAGAAGTCAATTACTTAAAAAGAAATACCTTCTAATCTATCATATTAACTTTTCAGTCTGAAAAAAAAATTGCTACCCACCTTCATTCTCTGCATATCATCACTTCTCCGTGGTGACAAGTGATAGGATGAGAGGAAATGGGTTCGTTATGTCAGACGAGGTTTAGATTGGCTATTAGGAAAAATTTTTTCACGGAAAGGGTTATTAAAAATTGGAATAGGCTGCCCAGGGAGGTGGTGGATTCGCCATCCCTGGAGGTGTTTAAAAAAAGAGTATTTGTGGTACTTGGGGACATGGTTTAGAGGTGGTTTTGTCAGGGTAGGTTAATGGTTGGACTTGATGATCTTAAAGGTCCCTTCCCACCTCAGCAATCCTATGATTCTATGACTTGTAATGAAAATTCTACAGCTTTGACTTGTCTAATTAGTAATGACAGTGCTGTACTCACTGAGAAAACAGAATCCAGCTCCTCTCGGTACAAGCTCTATTCTCAATAAAGGACTAAAACCACTACTAAAAGCTTAGCTTTGCCATAAAAAATATTCAGGGAGGAAAACAAGCAAAGGATGAGTAGAAGCATTCCAAATTTGAGCAATCTGTTTCCC